TTGAGGAAAAGATTAGTTCATCTCTCGAGTCCTCTATCAGGTTTTTGAGTTTCATCACGGAAAAGACAGAAGCCAATCAAATGCAGTTAGAGCCGAAAAAAGATTTGATCCGCTAATCTCTCGAGGTTTTAGTTTGAGTCGTTCGTTCATCACGTGAAAGACAGAACCCAATCATATGCAGTCAGAGCTAGAAAAAGATTTGATCCGTTCATTTCTCGAGTCCTCTGTTTGAGTTGATCGTTCATCATGTGAAATACAGAAGCCAATCATATGCAGTCAGAGCCGGAAATAGATGTAATCTGTTAATCTCTCGAGGTTTTGGTTTGAGTCCTTCATTCATCATGTGAAAGACAGAAACCAATCATACGCATTTAGTGCCTGAAAAAGCTCTGATCTTACGCATTGGTTAAGCATATTTGAAACTGTCAGTGTCAGGTGAATGAACAACTCAAATTTAAAGACATGCCAGATGAGGTGATCAGGCTAAATCATAGAAAAAATACCAGGTAAACAACAAAGAGTTGTCTTCTCTTTCTTAGTAGTAGTAGATGTGTTTGGAGGCAACTCATAACATTTTAATGTTATTTTGGCAAATTGAACAAAATGAATGATTCATTTATTTTGAGTCAGTAAAATGATCTGAACTTCCCATCACTGAACATCGAGTTGGTGGCCTTGAGTATATTTGAAAAGTATAGCAAAGCACTTAAAGAATTAGTTCACCCGAAACGGAAAATTCTATTATTAATTATTCACTCTCATGTCGCTCCAAAACCCTGAGACATTTGTTCTTTATCAGAACACAAATTAAAAGATTTTAGATGAAATCTAAAACTAGAAGACTAGATAAGGAACCAGAAACATTGCCAAAACATTCCATGTGACTTCAGTGGTCCAACTGTTATCATACAAAGATCCAAGAACACTTTTTATGCAAGGGTAAATCTGTAAATATGACTATGTTTGTATATTTTCTCACATAACAAGTGAGGGTGTGCATTTATCAGTATGTCGAATTGCCAATAGAGTCAGAAGTGCAAAACGCCAGGGTTGTATTGCCTGTAGTAAACACACACCCTGATCTTATGTGGAGGACCCAATTTAAAAAAGTTCTTTTTACAGTTTTAAATGTGTTTTTGAAGCTTCGTATGATTACAGTTCAACCAGCGAAGTCAAATAAAACATTTTGACAATATTTGTAATTCTATTTCTTGACTTTGAATGTCTCGTGACTGTTGTTGTGTATGGACAGAGAGCTATTGGATGTTCAACGCAATCTCATGGCAATTTGTAACTTTCAGATTTAGTGGCTAATTTGTATAAATTTGTACAATCTAATTCATACAATTTAGTAGGATTTGCTCATTACCTAATGACAGTTGGGTTTAGAGGTGGGGTTGGATGCCACGTCTGCTTTTTAAAATTGTACATTTTCGTGTGACTGAACTTGAATTATCCACTAAAAATACTTACAATTTCTCGTAAGATCAGGCTGGGATGTCTTCTAAAGCATCATGTGCCTTACAGGATTGAACATGAGGATGAGCAATTACTGTAGTAACCACATTTTCCTCTTTTGGGTGAACCAATCCTGTTAAAAAGCTTAAAAATAAAGTGTTTCGTATAAATTGATGTATGGAAATGTACCTTTGAAGCAAAAACTATTCTTTAGAAATGTCTATTTGACATCATACAGTACGCAAGCAAATAAGATTCTTGGTTAGTATTGTGTGTTCGCAGTCTTCCCTGAGCGCTCACCCCTATTTCTTTCATCTAAGCCTGGCTCTCTTTGGGTTTACTGCTGAATTCTTTTTTTTTTTTCTCCAAATAGAAGCCCATTTGGTGAATTCATCATCTCCATAACATGCGGAACAGCAATGCCGAGCATTCGTAAATTGCTTCTTTATTGCACAATCCATTATGTAATGGTATATTTGCTCAAGGTAGTAGATATCGCTTTGTGCGAGAAAGGCGGGATGTTTTGTAAAGCCGTCCAGAAGTCACAATGCATTTCTTTTTTTTCTTTTTGTCCTAAAAGTGATTTGGTCTAAAGTGTTTTTTTATATTTTAGGTGCGTGGGCAGTGTGTTTGTGAGTTTAGGCCTACATATATTGATTATATAATGCATTAACGTCAGAATTGTTATATATTATCTACTGTATTTATGTGGTATCTTATGAATCACCTCTGCTGAACTGTCCAAGCTGGAGGCGTTGTTTACAACTTTGTTTCTTTGAGGGAAAGTTGACCCCACCGGATCAGTTTGCACATTATAATAATTTGTGTAAAATCATTACAGAACTCTCGGTCTATATCTAAACCGTCTCTAAGGATCTGGCTCTGGGGTTAGTTTCGTCTTCTGTTTTTCTCATGAATGTTACAGTAGAAGGAAATATTGATTGTGCATCCTTGCATGCACAAACACCTCCCTTGAATGCATGCAAATGCAAGCACATTGCTGGCTACAGGTCATAACAGACCATAACACGTGTTTTGTTCATCGCAGTTTCTCGAAACTCTTTTCTGCGGCTTTAATTTGGCTATTTGTTGCTGGTTATCGCACTTTAATTCCATGCAACTGCTTTTTAATGACAGCTCAAATCCTTCATTGCGCACAGTCTTTAAGGACAAGCTTGGCCCATTATGGATTTTTTTTGTTTTGTTCAGAAGCTTTTGGCTGAATATTTTGTTGTCTAATTACCATGGACAATTTAAAAGCATAAACTGCAAGGCTTTGCGTTTTTTTTTTATGGTTCCTAATTCAAGCAGCATATCTCCAGATCGTTTTTTTCTTATTTATTTTATATTTTATAGAGTCAGACTGCAGAATGCGAGGCACAACATCCTCTTCTTCCCCATCATTTGTGTGTGTATATAGGCATTAAGCATGAGTGTTTCCCATGACCTAGTTCCTGCACGTGCTCAGTAGAAGCGCAGCTCGAGACCCCCTTCCCCTGGGGGCACACGAGGGGAAAACAAAAAGAAAGCGCGCTCTTTCATACGCATGAACGGATGAGCACAGGAAAACTGGGATGCGCCTCGTATCGCATTCGGCGTTCGATGCGGTAAATACACTGATGCAATAAATCTACAATACCTAAAGGTTGCTTTATCATCTCTCAACCTGATTTTGGCTCAGGCTGAAGCTCATTATAGTATATTTATCTCTGTAATAACCGATATTTCGAACAATGCTGGGCTGCTTTTCATACTGAAGACGTGATGGGGAAAATGCAGGGTTGTTCCTAGAAGCTAGAATGCTTTATTTTTCGTTCTTTCTTTCCTCTGTGGAACACAAAACAAAGACATTTTGCTCAGTTAGTGTTATTTTGTCCTGGCTACAATGAAAGTGAATGGGGCTAGAGATAATGAAGCTATTTTAGAGCTATTGTTGAGGGCAGTATTTTCAGGACATTCATATGGGCTGCTTCCAAAATCACTTACTTCCCGCCTATATAATAAGCAAGAAAAGCACATATGGCAAAATTAGTTTGTTTTAGTACTCCAAAAAAAAGTAGTGCATAATTATTATGCAAGCCAATATTCTCATTATATATTTTTCCCTCAAGCACATTTGACCAAGTCTAAACTTTATTAATATTAATAACTAGGAGTTTTATATATGTAAACATTATTCAGTTAGTACATTAAGGTCTGAAAATGAAAAATGCCTCATATTTAAATGTACATTATTATTGAGGAAATTTTATACAATATATAAAATTTAAATTAAGATGTGAAGATTACATTATTACATATATATATATTACATATTACATTATATATTACATTTCAGAGATTGTCATTTCTAATTTGATGTAATCTTTTTTTGTTTGTCTTATTGGTGAGCTACAAAAATACTAAATAAAATTGAATGTTCCGAATAAAAGTAAATGACTTTTTAAAATGTAAACACTGTCACTCAAAGGATAGAGGACCCTGCTGAAGACATCGACAAGCAAATCAAGGCAAAAACTAGAGTAATTATGTTATAAATTGGTTTGTTTTTTTTATTACTGTAATAAGTTGATAATAAAATGTAAAACAAAAACTGTATTAAATAATATAAAACACTGTTTCTATTCATTTTTAAATATTATTAAATAAATTAGGAAATTACCCTTGGTAAATTAGCCCACCTATATTTACCTTTGGCCCACTAGCCTCTATCAAAATTGGTTTTTGGCCCTTCAAAAGAAAAGGTTTGGGCACCCCTGATATAGGCAGTCGCAAAGTACCTAAGAGTATTTATGTAATAAATAAATAAACAAATTACTATAATAATTTATTGTAAAGTACAGGGAAAAAAGCTTACATCCATTTTTAGCTAAAAAAAAAAAGTCTTGTCATCTCAACTTACATCAGTCAGTTCAATTTTGTTTGCATTGTTGTATACATTTTGTAAAAAAAAAAAAAAAACTGTTACATCTTAAAATGAGTTAAAGTAACATATAAACATTTGTTGTTTTTGAAATATTGTTTTGCATTTTATGTTAAACAATCAGTTGTGATATTTCTATAGTTGCTGTCATAACAGCTATAGGAAACAAACAAACAAAACTAAGTGCCCATACTAAGTTTACTACAAATATATTATACTACAGTACACCTCAGTTCACTGTAGTAAAAACTAAAGTATGCAGTATTTATTAGTTCATCAGTTCACTAGTTAATACTTAAGAATGTGGAAGCATTCATTCAACAAAATTGTTAATACTGTGATATATTAGACTTTACTATAGTACCGTTCGGAAACATTATAGTATGTGTGCTATAAATTACTAAACCACTTTTTAAAAACTCCAGTCTGCATCCACTTCCATTGCAGGGATTAGTGCTGCATGAACATTCTTCAAAAGATCTATTTTTGTGTGTGTTTCCTGAAAGTAAAGAATGACTTACTGGCATTTCATTCATGCACAGTCGACCGGTTGATATGGCTCAGAGATGCATTGGTTAAAAACTCGCTGCAGCAGCGCGAGCAGCCACGCCTCTCCCTTCCCGGTGCTTGACGCTCCGGAGCCCTAGTTGTCTGAGGAGAAGGGCTTTTTTCAAGGGATTGTTGAGGAAAATCACTCTAATGGGTGTGAGGAAAAGAATGTGACAAGCTCAGTGAGTGTGTGTATGTGTGTGTGTGTGTGTGTCCAGTCAGTGCACCTGTCCCTCTCCGTCTCGCGCGCCCAAACTCGGCAGGCAGGCTCGCTCGCAAGGCGGGCGTTTTTATCCAGTCAGCGGCGCACAACGCGGTCAGCCTGAACATGACTTCGTCTTACAATCTGGATTTTTTGCCCGAGATGATGGTGGACGGACGATTGCTCAGCGCCGGGGAGAGGATGTAAGCGTTTAGCTGTTTATCTCTTTGCTTCCTCAGCTCTCTTCTGTCATCTTGTATGTTGACAAATAGGGCACGCGGTAGCGTGTTTGCGCCGCGCGCTCTGTTATCAGCGATCAGATAACGGGACTGATGGTGCTAATGTGATTTTGCTTTTAAACTGAGCTCATTCCCAGAGCCGTCGGTGGAAGTAGACACGTTGGATTGAGTGCCCTGTAATCGGACGGTCCGAGTCATGGCTTTCCATGAGTTTTACGCAGCGCAATGGGCGGAATTGTGGAATCTAGTGTAACTCCATGCTGGTGTGATATCAGTGCATCATTAAGGCTAACTGTTTATTAGTGCATGCGATATAAAGAACTTTGAAAGCCAGGTAAAAGTGAACATGTGTGGCTTGGGTATGATCACAGGACAGAACACAATGTCAGTTGTTTATCTGAGATTCATTCATATTTTATTAGGATCGACGTTATAAAACGCGTCTGTTGCACGTGCAAGAACATTCACAATAGTCTTCATATTCCTAATAGTCTCCACATAAAATATAACAATTTGTGTTTGTGGAATTATCTTGTATTATTTCCTTTCAGAGACAGTATGATCAGAAATGAAAACGTGTGAGTTGCCTGGTGTATTCAAAGTGCATTAGCAGCCTATAGTTTTAAACCTCTCCATAATTTATGAGTTCATGCTCCAGAGCGTTAAACAGCAGAAGCAGTGCTTTATATTAAATGCATACGATCCCGCAGCGCAGTGTCAGCTCGTGCATGAGTAACAGACATGTGACTGAAATGGCTGGAGCTCAGTGTTGAAAACATGCGCCGCTCCGTCTCTGCTTTTAAACCATCGGAATGCGCAATGACTGACTCCCCCCTCTCTCCCCCCTCTAACTCTCTATCTGGGTTGTTTCAAATTTGATTTGTTACGTGGCATGTGTTGCCGAAATGAGATTAGAGCACGCGCAGGACACGTAATTCACTTAAAGTGCAGTGTTGCGGGGCGCGAGGGATAGTTTGATGCGGCAGCGCGGGCTCTTCTCCTCTGTCCCACTTACGTCCGCTTGCCTTTAACTGCTAACGCTTGATGAGCGCTTGTGTTGTGGTGAGAATTTCGCCCCCTTCTCTGTATTCTCTGCCTTTGCTACACATTTTCCTCATTATTCTTGTCTGCAGGGTATTTACCGTGGATATAGTATCCAGCAGCGTGTCATTTGTTTATATGTAACCATACTTTTGAGCGGAAATGGAGACGCCCTAAAATGCCCGCGAAATTACATCTAGTCCGTGAGGAGACTAAATAATGATTTAGTTCTATTCGAAAGATGCCACAATTTATATATTGTATATATAAATACAATCTTTGGAGAATGGGGTAGGATTGAAGACAGATAAAACACTTAATAAGCGTTTATAGTCTTTTTGTAAGTGTTTTTTTGCAGACAAAATGTGATAACTGATCCATTGAATAGACCAATAGCCTAGTTCTCAACCAAGAGACTCCAGTAAGTAAAAACTGTATAAATAATTAAATGAACAGAATCTTACAGAATACGCTTTAAGCACACAAAAAATAAGAGTTGAAAAAACACTTGAAACTTTTCAATATTTCTGGATTCACAATATAGTTACATGTTTGAGTAAAATGTAATTTTTGTTTTATTCTGTAAATGACCATTTTTCAGATATTTCTTTCCATTTTAAAATAATAAACTAATTTATTGATTTGTTTTCATGAAGAAAAACTTAAAAAGTCCAATCTTTTTAAAAGTTGCTGAATATCAATGAAATTTGTGCCCGCTGATGTCCGCAGATTTGTAAGCAGCTAATCAAGTCTATTATTTACTCAATATTTACAGTAGTTAGCATTTGAAGTGGATCAAAACCTTTCATCAAAGTTGTCCAGAAACCAATGAACAACATCACCCATTCTTGTCTTAGCACAATTTTGAAAAATATGTTTTTATATAAATTCCAGTAATAGTATTGACTAACTACTTAAGCATACTTTGCGTTTACGAGTCAAACATTTTGAGAACTGCTAATTTATAAATCATAGACTGGGTAGCAACTGGGTAGATGTTTGTTTTTGTCAAAACTGTTTTGGTCAAAATCTTGCACCATGTCTTATCTGTTTATTTCATTTGAGTTCAATTTTTCCAGTTACACCATGTGATTGCTGTCAGAAGTTTGTGTTTTTTTGTGCCCTCATGAATGTTTCTCTTTGTGTACAGTCCTTTCTGTTGCTTTCAGCTCTCAGGTTTATTCCTTTGTATTCTTGCTGTCCCCATATACCTCTTTTCTCGCTCAAGACATGTAGGTGAATTCGCTGACGGTTCACCATAAGCATAGACTAGCACTTCTGTGACAAGGTGTTGCTATCAGTCTCCTATTACACACATACACACACATACACGTAAGAAGGTGGACAGGCAGCATCCAGCTGGCCCGTGTTCCAACGAGTGAATACTTGCTAATCTCTCTCTTCACTACGTGATAAGCCGCTCACCTCTCTGCCAAAGAAACATTACACACACACAAACACACACACGCACTCGAGTGAGAATATAAAACACCTGTCCTTTAAATCCCCAACTGCGCAGTCTACATTTCTGCCTGTCGTAAGCCACTTCAACTGAGAAACTTTGTTGTTGATTCTGGATTCTAGCTTTTTTTTTTTTTTGTTTCGCAGTAAAGTGAAGTCATTTGACAGGCTAACTTAATTTTAGATCTAAAAAACAGTCCAGCAGTCCTCCAGGACACAAAGAAGCTTTTATTGGATGTGTGGGATGAGAGAGAGAGACTGATCAGAGATCCGGCGTGGGGTTCACTGAACTTGTTTTCCAGCCCACTGGAGGCTGTGTTGGAGGAAGTGTTGGCGATGGGGGCGATTTTGCAGATATGATGCAAATATTTTCAAATAACTGAATTTTACTTCTTCTTTTTTTGTATATCGTGCTCATAAAGACTTATCACCAACTTTATTCTTTACAGTTGACTATTTGTGATTATAGTATTCATTTTAGAATGACTTTTCCCAGCATTAAATGACACAAATAAGCGCAACAGAAGACATTTGTGCTGAGTTAATGCAAGGTATAATTTAGTTGGGGTTTTTTGTCTGCTGTTGTTGATTTGGTTTGTAAGACTCTTACATTGTTTGGCGAGATTGAGTTTGTATTTTAATTTAGAGTTATTCTCTGATACATACATTTTTGTACAAGATTAAACCCACTTTTTGAGCTGTTCAAAGAATTGTGTCATGGTGGATCATACTTTTAGCCAATAAGGGTTTATTTATACTCTGAAGTGTTAGTGTTAAACAAAGGAGGTTTTTTTGTTTGTGTTTCTTTTTTTTTCTTTTTTTTTTTTTTTTGTGAAATTGACCAGGGAGATTGGGTATGGTTGGCAAAAAAGGTACAATTTTTGTTTTAAAGGTTTTAAAAGGTTTTAATCAACATTGTTTTTACTTACAAAGGCTTGATTCCTGCTCAGTTAGTTGTTAAATTTGCCTAAACTGTGAAAATATTCGCTGTTAAAAATTCTATGATCAATTAATCCTGACAGCAAATAATTTTTAGGTCATTATAACTTAAACCAAGGTAATCATGTTCTAACTTGATTTTAAAAATTGCACAAGCTGTTTTAACAGGGTACAGTATCTGCGGGGTCTTAAAAAGTCCTAAAATGTCTTAAATTTTAAAAATCTAATTGGTTTAAAACTGGTCTTAATTCTTTTATGTCCTTGTAGTTACCCAATTGGGCCAACACCCATTCAATCACTAACTATACATTTTAATAAAAGTAAAAAAAAAATGTTTATTTATTTGCTATCTATTTACATATTAACATGGTTTATTAATCTTCCTTACAATAACATTTGTTTTAATGGGATCTTTTAAGTTTTAACATGGCTATAAAAAAATCTTTAGTGTTTAACCTTGTTTAAGTCTGAAATTTCAACCATTGTGGTCTTCAAATTGTCTTTAAATGTATTAGAAAATATTAAGTTTGTCTTGATGAAACCTGTAAAAACCCTGTTTAATCAGTTTATTATAATATATGTTCAATGGACTCATGCGTTTAATTTGATTCAGCTTAAAATTTTAAGGCAACCAGGATTTTTTTTGTTGCTGACTTATTTATTTTTTTATTGAATCAGATTAACTTTTCTAGTAATTTCAGCTTGCATCAATCAAACTGACCTAAAATATTAATGTAAACTTTACCTAACTTATATGCAAATATATTTTATATATTTTATTAAATCATAAAATATATAGTTGAAGCCTGATTAACTTTAGCTTAACTTTTAGTTAAAAATAAGTAAAAAAAAAAAACATTTGTAGTGATGACTTTGTCATATTTTTTACTGGAAAATTGGGAACATTTGAAGAAGTTTTGTGTATAAATGGAATTATTTGTGAGAGAAGTTGATTGTTTGGAAATATAGTAATAATTTAGATTTTTTTTTTTAAGTTTATGCGAGTAATTTACGGAATGATTGTGCTAATTTGTTTAAAAATTGTGCTGAAACTAATTAAAGGTCAAAAAGTCTCTCTCTCTCTCACTTTCTATTTCAATTTGGAAACTCATAAAATGGCTGTTGATAGGAAAATATATAAAGATTTTGAAATTATATTTTGCCTCGGTTAAATCCAGTATCAGAATGGAATATAAATTTGTTCATCTCACAGGGAGTTTACTTGAATAACCATTTGAATAGTGTGTGAATGAAGCCTTATGTATGCTATGTGAAGCAAGGTATTATTTAGTTGGCGATGTTTGGTCATAGTGTTTTGCTATTTGTTGTAATAGTTGCACACTATGGTCTCTAAGGTTTTAATGTTATTTAAAGAGTTTTAAATAGCTCTCTCTCTATCTTTCTCTCTCTTTAGTAGACGAGTCATTTTTCTCCCCCTTCAATTATGTTCACAAACTCTGGGAAATCTCTAACCTTTGAACCATGACCTGTTAGAGTGGTTCCTCACATGTTCTGGTAACCTA